ACACTGGGCTAAACCCCTGAGAGTGCTCTGCGTCATTATGCATTGCATTCAGCAGGCATCCCTTGTGTTCTGCATAACTCATTCATAAAAAGAACCCTTAACCTGTTTTTTTGTGTGTGTTTTTCATACCCGTCAATTAATCAGAAATCTGCTTCGTAATGAAGGGTGGAAGAAAAGCAAATTAATGCTTCTTGTTAAGTAATCATATTGAGACTATACAAAGTATTGGAAAGTGACATTGGGGAGGAGGCGATATCAGTGTCTTCTGTATGACAGTTGGAAACTTAGAGATCAGTTACTGTGACTGACACCTGCGGACAGGCTTTCTCAATATTTTATATTCACGTGTTTGTTTGCTTGCAGTTACTAGCAGCTGAAACAAATGCTGCACAGCGATTCAGACCTAACATTAAATCTAAATAGAAGAGATCGGTAATATTGCAACTGTATAGCTTGGAGGAAAGACGAGACAGGGGGATATGATAGAAACATTTAAATATATAAAGGGAATCAACACAGTAAAGGAGGAGACTATATTTAAAAGAAGAAAAACTACCACAACAAGAGGACATAGTCTTAAATTAGAAGGGCAACGGTTTAAAATTAATATCAGGAAGTATTACTTTACTGAGAGGGTATTGGATGCATGGAATAGCCTTCCAGCTGAAGTGGTAGAGGTTAACACAGTGAGGGAGTTTAAGCATGCGTGGTATAGGCATAAGGCTATCCTAGACTTAAGATGAGGCCAGGGACTAATTAAAAGTATTTTGAAAATTGGGCAGACTAGATGGGCCTAATGGTTCTTATCTGCCGTCACATTCTATGTTTCTATGTTTCTAACTGTCCCTCATTGGGACCAAAATCTCATTAGCCTTATTTTCATCCCCATTGCCCCACTTTTCCAGATGTTTGATGTTTCATAGAAATACATGATAAGCCATGATAAGCAGACAAATACCTAGATTTAAGAGTATGCTGGAGCTACTCTTAAATCTAGGTATCTGCTTATTGTGGCACTTAAAAGGAAGCAATAGTTAAAAACTATTAAAATTGAATAAATAAATAAAAATCTTGCCTTTAAATTGACTGTTTATACGCTGATCAGCCACAACATTAAAACCACCTGCCTAATATCACGTAGATCCTCCTGGTGCTAGTGCGTCGAGGCATGGACTCCACAAAACCTCTGCAAAAGCCAAACCAGGAACTGCACTCTTCCATATACACAGACTTGGGTGCAACCGAACCAGGGTCCAGCACCAAGTGCCTAAATATAGTTTGTAGTCAAAGAAGAAAGGTCCCGGCATTCCAAAAATTTAAATAGGCAAATTTATTTGACCCAAAATGCCCACCTGCTGCTGGATATCGGGGTCCAATAAATATGCCTATTTAAAGCCTTGGAGTGCCTGGACCTTTCTTCTTTGTCCACAAGACCTCTGAACATGTCCTCTGTTATCTGGCACCAAGACATTAGCAACAGATCCTTTAAGTGCTGCGAGTTGCAAGGTGGGGCCTCCATGGATCGAATTTGTAGTTCTAGCACAATCAGATTGAGATCTGGGGAATTTGGAGGTCAAGGCAACACCTTGAACTCTGTCATGATCCTCAAACCATTCCTGAACAAGTGTTGTAGTGTGGCAGGGTGTTTTATTCTGCCAAAAGATGTCACTGTTATCGGTGAATATCATAGACTTGAAGAGTCAATGGCTGCAACAATCTCTAGGTAGGTGGTACGTTCCAAAGTAACATCCACATGAATGCCAAGACCCAAAGTTTCCAAGCATAACATTGTCCAGAGCAAACACTTCCTCAGTTAACCTGTCTTCTCCCCACAGTGCATTCTGCTGCAATCACTTCCCCAGGTAAGCGCACCCGTCCATTCGCCTGAACTAAAAGAAAACATTAATTATTAAACCCGGCAACCTTCCTCCATTGTTTCATGCCCCAGTTCTGATACTCACGTCCCCAGTGAAGGCACTTTCGCAAGTGGACAAGAGTCATCATAGGCACTCTCACTGGTCTGCAGCTACGCAGCTCCATACACAGCAAATTGGGATGCACTGTGTGTTCTGACACCTTTCTGTTAAGGCCAGAATTAAGTTCAGTTACAGTAGCTCTTATGTGTGATCAGACCAGACGGACTAGTCTTTGCTCACCGCGTTCATCAATGAGACTTGGGACCCCGTGACACCAGTTCCCCGGTAGTCCTTGCTCACACCACTTTTCACAGGTATTCACCACTGTATACTGGGAACACGCTACAAGACTTGTCGTTTTGGAGATGCTCTGACCCAGTCGTCTAACCATCACTATTTGGCCCTTGTCAAAGTTACTCATATCTTGTTGCTTGCCCATTTTTCCTGCTTCTAACACATATGAAATTTCTGCCTAATATATCATATATGGAAGGTGGGCCTGTAGTTATGGGAGGGGCTTGATTTCCTTTCTTAAGGACGTCAAACCGCTCCCCATTATTGTTCAGTCTGGTGATTTGCATACCATGACTTCCGGTCTGTGCAAATCACCATTTTACTTACCTTCAATTCGTGGGAACACTTTGTCCTGCAGCCCCTGGTGGTCTGTTTCGCTGTCTTCCAACTCTCCAGAACCTCAACAGGTCTCCCATATCTGCTCCAGTCACTTCGTTGACTGAATCGTAAAAAACGTGAGTCAAACGGTGCCAAATGCTGTTTTGGACAATCAGGACCTCCTCATAGAGATGCACTGAATCAGTGCATCTTTATGAGGAAAATTCAGCATCTCCATGCAAAACATGGGGACGCTGAATGGCAGAGCTGCCTACTGTGCAGCCCTGAGGAGTGACCACTTGGAGGTGTCCCTAGGGGCAATGTAAACATGAAAATGCCTGAAGGGAGCTATTATACTCACTAGAACAGCCACATAAAGCTGTAGTTGTTCTGGTGTCTATAGTGTCCGTTTAAGTTAAATTCTGTATGTTTTAAATGTCGGCCTCTAGTGGTCAGTTTTTTATATTGCACATGAGTTTAATTGAAGTCAGGTAATTACTGCATGTTTAATGTCGACCTCTAGTGGTCAATTTTGATACTGCGGGGGCTATATTTGATGTTTGATATTTTAAAGTGATTAACCCCTTCCCGACCGAAGACTGAGATTTTCCGTAAAGCTTGTCCGTGCGTTAAGGACCGTTGACGGAAAATCTCCGCCATTTACTAACGTTAACGCCAGATCACCGCAATCGCGACAATCAGGGCCGCCATCAGGGGATGAGAACCATAATGGTTGTCACGGGCTCGCCGGTCCTGGGGGGCCCGGACTGCTTTGGCAGTCCAGGGCCCCACAATTACTCTCTGCATCTATATATAGCGATGATCGTTATATATAGGTGCAGCTGCGGGCCCCCGGCTCCCTGTATTCGCAGAGGGGGCCCAGCGGACTGCAGCTGTACTTTACAGCATTTCCCTCGCTCTAACTCCCGTGAGACATGCAGCCGTTACAGCGTTGCCATGGGTTACCATGGCAATGCTCCACGCGGCGCACACACCACATCTCGCAGGAGTGAGAGCAAGGGAAATGCTGTAAAGTGCTCCTGCAGTTCGCTGGGCCCCCTCTGCAAATACAGGGAGCCGGGGGCCCGCAGCTGCACCTATATATAACGATCATCGCAATATATAGGTGCAGAGAGTAATTGTGGGGCCCTGGACTGCCAAAGCAGTCTGGACCCCCAGGACCGGCGGGCCCGTGACAACCTTGGGAAATTGAGTGTTAGGCTAGTTAGAGACGAAAAGTTTAGAAAAGTTCTGAAAAGTTTTTAAAAGTTTTAAAAAAAAGTATTAAAAAAAAAGTATAAAAAAAGGATAATTTTTTTTTTTTTTTTTTTAAACAGTTTAAAAAAAGTTTGTTAAAGTTACACCTTCATAATGTCTAGAAGGTACACTGCTGAGGAGGCTTATGATATACTAGCAGCTGACTCTGACGCCACAGACACTGCCTCTGAGAGTGGTGTTGAGACTGTGCCAGATACTGCAGGGCCCTCTGTTGTAAGCGCCGAGTCCCCTGACCTGGCTCATGACGCTGGTGACTGGGAACCCCTAAATGATTTCACGCCTGACATCCCAGTGTTTACTGATAGTCCTGGAATTCAGTTGGACGTCACTAACTACAGTGCACTGGATTTCATGCAGCTATTCTTGGGGGATGATATTTTAGGGGATATAGTCACCCAGACCAACCGTTATGCTGTGCAGTCCCTGACACTTAATGATCAGAGTCATTGCCAGGCAAGGGAGTTGGTACCCAACCAGAGTGCCAGAATTAAAAAAAATTTGGGCACTAACAATGTTAATGGGCATTATTAAAAAACCCAGCATCAGGATGTACTGCTCCAAAAATCATGTATGCAGCACCCCTATTTACTCCCAGACCATGAATAGGTCCAGATATGAAGCAATACTTCGCTTTTTACACTTCAGCGACAATTCAAAGTGCCCCCCCAGAGATAATCCTCAATACAATAATCTCTATAAGATTCGCCCCCTTATTTCCCACTTCAACATACAGTTTGGCTCAATGTATACCCCACAAAAAAATATTTGTGTAGATGAGTATTTAATGAAATACAAGGGCAGACTGGGGTTTAAACAATATATCCCGGCCAAAAGATCCCGATATGGGATAAAGTTGTATAAACTTTGTGAAAGTGCCAGTGGTTATGTTTACACCTTTCGTGTTTACGAAGGTAAAGACAGCCACTTGGATCCCCCAGGTTGCCCGGTTCTTTGGTACTGAGGAGATAGGTCCGCCTCTCCAATTTTGGATAATGGGTATCCACAAAATATATATAAAACAGCAGATAGTGCTCTCAGTGTGAACAATAAAGCAATTTAAAAAAAAAATAAGTTATACTTACGATAATAGAGCAGACAGATACTGCTCTATTGCCACAGCGCTGGTGGAATTATCCCCACCTAAGGATTTCTTTGGACGGGATACACTATGAGGTTTTTTCAAAATGGTAAATCCTAAGGATTTCTTTGGACGGGATACACTATGAGGTTTTTTCAAAATGGTAAATGCTTATACCATTTTGAAAAAACCTCATAGTGTATCCCGTCCAAAGAAATCCTTAGGTGGGGATAATTCCACCAGCGCTGAGAGCACTATCTGCTGTTTTATATATATTTCGTGGATACCCATTATCCAAAATTGGAGAGGCGGACCTATTTCCTCAGCACCAAAGAACTACGTACATCTGAGTAGGTCCCAGCCTACACCAAGGGAATCCCAAGCCGGACAGACGGACCAACCATCCAAGTATATCCTATAGTTGGGATCAAACCACTAAGTGCCTCTTCTCCTAGAGCTGGTTCAAGCTCCAACAAATGTGAGTGAAACATCTTTCTCTTGATTTATACATCACATCTGGACATACAATATTTCACCATTGGCAGCTCTCTTTTTGTTTTTTATTTCCACATATATGGACTGCCATAAGGACGGATCAACACCTGAGGACTATTATCTTATCATCACATATCAGTGAGACTGTTTCAATTTATTCTTGGATGAGCTTTGTCTATTGATTATATCTGGTTTTATTATTATTTGATTTATTTATTATTTATTATTTTTTATTTTTATTTTTTAGCGCAGCCCTTAACCCCCTTTCTTGTATTTTCCTGTCTCTTAAAGGGTTTCTTGAGGGATTCCCCTTTTAGGGTTGCTTATATCAAAATACACGTAGAACGAAATAATATATATATATCTACATACATAAAAAAAAAAATATATATATATATATATATATATATATATATATACACACACACACACACATACACCTATATATAAAAATATATTTTTTTAAATTATATATATATATACATATATATATATATATATATATACACACACACATAGATTCACATACGTATATATATATATATACACATATGAATTCTACATATATATTTATGTAATATTTTTACATAAGTAGGTATCTTAATTAATTACAATTAACGGGACCTGCCTGACAACCCATGCCGAAAGTAAAGGGAATTTAATTTGCTAGCACTATATTTAACCCTATAACTTTCCAAGACACCATAAAACCTGTACATGGGGGGTACTGTTCTACTCGGGAGACTTCGCTGAACACAAATATTAGTGTTTCAAAACAGTAAAGTGTATTACAACGATGATATCGCCAGTAAAAGTGAAGTTTTTTGCCTTTTTCATGCACAAACAGCACTTACACGGACGATATTATTGCTGTGATACTTTTTACTGTTTTGAAACACAAATATTTGTGTTCAGCGAAGTCTCCCGAGTACAACAGTACCCCTCATGTACAGGTTTTATGGTGTTTTCAAAAGTTACAGCGTCAAATATAAGGCTTGCGTTTCATTTTTTTCACATTAAAATTCGCCAGATTGGTTACGGTGCCTTTGAGACCCTATGGTAGCCCAAGAATGAAAATTACCCCTATGATGGCATACCATTTGCAATAGTAGACAACCCAAGGTATTGCAAACGGGGTATGTCCAGTCTTTGTGACCAAATGGCTACTAAAAAAGACTGGACATACCCCATTTGCAATACCTTGGGTTGTCTACTATTGCAATTGGTATGCCATTATGGGTGTAAATTTCATTCCTGGGCTACTATAAAGTTCCAAAGGCAACGTAACCTATCTGGTGAATTTCAATTTCAAATGTAACATGCTATATTTGACCCTGTAACTTCCCAAAATGCCATAAAACTTGTACATAGGGAGTACTGTTTTACACGTGAGACTTTGCTGAATACAAATATGTGTATTTTATTGCAGTAAAAGCAGTATTATGACATTGACAGTTAAAATGTCACGTAGAACTAAAAAAATTTTTTTAAAAAATCGTATTTTCTCCCATTTTTTTCATATTAAATTATGTTTCACAGCTAAATATATGATAGTAAATGAAAGCCCTGTTTCCCCTGAATAAAATGATATATAATAAGGGTGGGTGCATTTAATATGAAAGAGGTGAATTACGGTTGGACAGACATGTAGCGCAAATGCCAGGTTTTGTTTACATTTTGTTTCGTTCACAACGTGTACATTTGGCTCCATCCTTAAGGGGTTAAATAGCCTGTGATGTCTGCTTTATATAAATATATACTTTTGTGTGACAATTTTGTTTTCTTTTATGGCTATTAAGCTTACAAGACAAACATACCAAATTCTAAAACTGAAGGGAAAAAAAACAATATTTTTAAATTTTTTGGCATTTTTTTGTATTTTTTTATAATAAATAAGCATTTATATATATATGTGTGTTACATCAATTTAAAGCCCTTTTTGTTCTTTAAAAAAAACAGTATATAATATGTGTCGGTGCAATAAAATAGTAAAATGTAAATTGCAGTTGAACACAAACAGCAAAAAATGTGAAAATTTCTTGTGTCGTTAAGTGCAAGACAAGCTTTTGAAGCTGTGTCCTTAAGGGGTCAATTAAGGTCAAACAAGCGCTTGCTTGTTAATAATTTTTCATTCCTTATCAGGATATTCCCATATATGTCTCTATGGGACAGGGGAGGATGGGGGGGAGGAGGAAAAAACGCTATGGGACAGTGGAGACGGGGGGGGGGGGAGGCAGAAATAACACTATGGGAGAGGGGAGGCGGGGGGAGGAAAGAACGTGAATATCGGTAAGCTATCGGCCTGAAAGTTCACAGATTATCCGTATCAGCTCTAAAAAAAAAAAAATCAATTTCCTTGATCACTAAAATATACACATACATATATATATATATATATATATACACACACACACACACATACATACATATATATATATATATACACATACACATACACACACACACACATATATATATATATATATATACACATACACATACACACACACACACACACTTACATATACACCATATAATCAATGTTATTCACTTCACTTCTCAGTGGATTTAATTTTGTGGCTGATCAGTTTAGACCACTGACAGCTGGCAAAATGTAATTCAAAATAGCCAATTTGGAGGAAAAAAAAATATAAAAATTATACTTTTCCTTTTTTTTTTTTTTTTTAAAGATTCTTTATTTTTGAGAATGCAGTTACAGAAAACAAATAGTTACGCTACAGCAAATAGTACTCATATTCCACACATGATAGGCATGACAATAGCACGATTTGAGAAGCATGGCAACTACACATTTGGGGTTTTGGACAGTCATGATAGTGGAGCATATTGGAAAACACATGGTAAAATATTACAGAGAAACAAAAACAGCACCAACTGCAATTAAAGATCACTGGATCCAAGAAAAGGGCATACTCGACATTGTTGTGGGGGCACTCTCCAAAATAGCTGTACTGCATACTCAAGACATGTTTGTTCCTTTTCCAGAGCACCTGACCATCTCACCCTCCCAGGAGGTTCATCACAGTCCCACACTGCCTTGGGGGTCTCCAACTCAAAAGCTGGTAAGCTTTCCGACCACGTTTCAACCTCCATTCACAATTGCGTATAGCTGCCATGGTCCTGCCCTAAATCTTCATATTGTAGAAGTCGCTTTAGAGCTGGGTATAAAACAGTCTTCTCACCCTCTGAGGAGGAGTATTTACTTTAGAGTGATGCAGAGCTGGTGGAGGTCTCTTAGGTTTCCAGGATAGCAGAGTCTAACTGTAGATGCGCTGAGAGGCCTTTGGGCCACTTTTGTCAAGCCTAAGCATCTGCCAGATAAGAACTGTGATGGTAAGTTAGCAGCCTGCAAGCGGAGTATGGGGGTGGGGCTGCATTTTGCTGCCTAACTTCGTCCAGGAGGTTTCAAATAGTTTGTTGAGCTTTCCCATATAGTAGGATTTGTTTGGCTCATTGTATCCACCATTTTGAAGTGGGTTATTGCTTCCTACTGTGCCTAAAAGTAATAGATGCCAGGATAACCCTCACAGGTAAATGTATTGGGGGGAGGATAGCGCTCAATCCTTGAGGCACAATCCCAGGTAAATTGGAGATGGGGAGTTTGGCCCGGTCGTTTCTCCCACACCCGGAGGGTCACAAGTAGGCTGCAGACACACTTCAGCAACACAACATAGCTGTCAGCCTCCCTCGAGTTACTTCTAAACCCCTCTACAAGCCAGTATTTTAGTGAATAAGCCACTTAATGTTGTGTGCTTTATGTGATCTTGTGCAGTGCTGCCTCTGTAAATTACCTCTTCTTGCATGTAGGGAAATAAAATATTTATTTTGGGGTTTGTTTGTTTCTAAAAACATTACATATATTAAATGAGAGCCCACTGAAGCTAAAATAACACAAGGGAAATATTCAACACATTACAGTTTTTCTGTACATGCAGGTTAATGCACTTACTCAGTGAACCAGACTGTGGACAATATGAATTCTTCTCCCGAAAAAGAAGAAATATTATTTCTGGTATACAGCCATGGTAAAAAGAAAGTACACTCTCTTTGAATTCTATGGTTTACATATCAGAACATAATCATCTGTTCATTAACAAATCTTATAAATAGGTAAATTCAACCTCAGATGAACAGCAGCATATGACATATTACATAGTGTCATGATTTATTTACCAAAAATAAAGCCAAAATGGACAAGCCATGTGAAACGGTGGTTATCTAATGTGTGGCTGAGCATGGAGGTGGTACAGCAGAGCATTTATGTGCTAAGAAAAACAGCAAACAAGAAAACACCCAAAGACTCTTCAGTAGGGCTTCATAACTCCAGATCTTAAAAATGTATATACGTTTTGGAACTGAGAAATCCCAATTGGACCACCTTACCAGTAAGAGTCCAAAGACAAATTATACAAGCTTGCTTGAGCAGGGTTTTCTTCTCCTCTAAGTATTCCCTCTCTATAATTGTAAAGCAATGTGTAATATCTTCCACAGAGATATAGATGTTACTAATACATAATAATACTACTTGAAAACTCTCAGAGATCACATACACATGAGAGATATATATAGAGAGAGATTAGATAGATAGATAATATTTTTGTTTATATATATTGTCATAAAAGCATGACTATAAGCCGTATGTTTTCACGTGCATATGTTTGCTGCCATCTAGTGGCAATAATCATAAACTTTATTGTCAAT